TAGTCTCGGACTTGGAGCAGGTGATAAGAGAAGAGGTTGAGAAGGAGATGGCGGCGGCGGAGGAGGAGGAGGAGGACGATGATGCCGGGATGGACGATGTGGAGGTGTGGGTGAAGATGGGTGAGAGCTCTGCGTCTGCAGATGGAGAGGACGCGGGTGAGGTTGTTTTGGCACCCGCGGGATTCCTCCGGCGCATCGGACGTGCTTTTAGCCGAGTTGGGCGAGGGATTGGTCGAGGATTTCGACAGTTGGGCAGGCTAATGCCCCGTGGCAATTACAGAATCTGTCTTGGCCGTTGTCCCAGATGACGCTCCACCTTCCTCTCATGATTAATTTTTATACACCTCCTTTCCTTGTTAATATACAAATCTATATGCAGCTAATGTCTTTTAAACTATGTGAGGGTTTGCTTGCAGGATTGGACTAATAATTTTGGCTGTGATTAAGGCCTGTGATGTCTAAAGATACAACAAGAAGGCAAGTAACTCATCAGATTACCACCTTTCTAGACGCAGTTGTGCCATTTAGTGTGTTAAGTAGTTATGCCTATAAAGTCTTGCATGACTGATGGGATTTGCTGAACGCGAGTCAGTACGATTTTACCTCATTTGCGTAGCACTACTGCACGCATGTGGTTGGATCCGAAAACAAGACTGAAAAGCCGAATGACGCAGGGCACATGACAGAAGAGAAATTCATTCTTCTTGCTTAAGATTCCCGCCACCTGTACTATGGCCAATGATGAGTATCGACAGACTGACTTAGCGTTACTGGGATGGGTGGTAGGCAGTGTTTTCAACGACTCAATCCTGCGTTAAGGATATTGGAAGTCACATCTTCCAGTTGTTTGCTGGGGACCACTCCCAATCTCGCCTTCATGGCCAGCGCATCACAAAGCATGACCCTGTGTGCTGTACTGTCACCTTAGTGTATTTTCCGCTTTATCACAGCCACAAATCCAGTGCAGCGTGGGAGTCACGGTTTATCTAGTGCTCATTGTAGACTCCATGCTTGCTACTTTGATTGACGCCGGTAGCACACACGCACCTCAAACACCCATTTACATCCAATTCCCGTTGTCAAAGAAACCAGCACTGTTGCCAGGTGACATGGCTGTCGTTAAATTTTTACCATTTGGCTCAACCGGTTTGGTACTTGGCCGGTGTTCAGACCTTTCAGAACTGCACGTAACCATCCAATGGGTCGTGTGTTTGTGAGCCGAGAGCAAAATTACAATCACTTGGTACGTACTTCGATCTTAATTCGTGAACCGCGAACGCATAGTGGCTGCCGTTAGCACGTCCCTACACAACTGTAACTAGATGGCAAAATTCATGTCCCCTGATAGAAAGGCACACTCGTTTGGACTATAATGGGCTCACTGATTCACTATTACGCCAGTCTTCAGAAGTCAAATCTGCGTGTTCTAAAGCCTTGCGATAAAAATTCACTTCGACCGCATCCTACCAGATTAACTGCATATTAAACCCGGCTAAGCCAATGATTCGTCATTTGAATGGGAAACAATTTAGCTCGAGTACCGACCCCTCACATTAGATCGTATCTGCCATTCATACCAGACAGTTGGTAAGTACAGCATCACAAAAAGGGGACGGTGATGTAATGGAGCGTTTGTCTAAGGCGCCTAGCTGTATATCCAAAACAACCTTTTGGAACGATGTCGGGAACTGACAGTGACCTGCACACATCCCATGTAAGCGTACTGACAAGCAACAGTACGCTCACCCAAGCAGCCCTGCTTCTATTTTAACAACGCTGACGCCGAACAGAGGCTATTAAACCTAAGATCCGAGCCGAACGCTGTGTTAAACGAGACTCACGCGTTGATTAGTCCAGAGAGCAGACATGCAATGCGGGTCTCACAAAACCTATGTCCAAACGTGGACAGTCGTTTTTAAGTTACTGAAAGGCAATCGCCATTGGAGGAAGTTAAAGCGGTGCTTGTGCAAGCTCTGACAACCAATTGTATTTACAAAGGAATAAAGTTAGAAAAAGTTAAACAAAGGCGTCGCGGGATTTGGTCTTTCGCCCACCAGCTGCCGCCTTCTTTTTCTTCTTTGCTGCCGAGATCGCAGCGCGTTTCTCCTTAATTGGCTGCTGGAAATGGAGGTTGCCTCGGTCGTCCTCGGCACCATCGCTGTCTTCGCCGTCCTCACCTTCCTGCTCCTCCGCTATGATACGCGAGCGTTTTCGCCTAGCCGCATCCTCTGCGTACGCACGCCGCGCAGCCTCTATCCCCGCAGCCCCACTGGCCCAATGCTGATTGGTCAAATCCGGCTGGTCAACGAGGTCGAGGTCACCGTTGTTCAGGAGAAGGTCATCGTCTTCGTCAGAGGAAGAGAAGCCATGAGCTCGCTTCTCCTCTAACCGGCGAGCTTCGGCCTCTCGAAGGACCTTAAAAGTCCAAAGGGGTGGGGAGGGGGGGGAATCGCGTAACAAGCAAAAAGGCTGCTATGCTTCGGAAGCCAACTATGCGTAAACACTAAAAGACGGTGGATGGTACCGACATTAGAAAGCAACGTACTGGGCACAATAATTAAAAGAGGGAAACGCTTTAGTATTTTACCACCTGTATCAATGCTAGGAAAATATCCAGCATTGTGAAACAAACTAGATACTACTAATAAGAGTCAAAAGACCTATACTGGGCTGGTGAAAAGCAATAATGTCATTTTGGTAGACGTGCTTTGGTGAACAAACAAAAAGGAAGCCGTCCAGAACAGTAAATAAGATTTTCAACATTGAGCGCGTATCTAGAAACTTATTGCCTGATTTTACGAAGCGCGAAGCGCAATGCACTTGGTGTCCCCATCACCAATAAAAACCAGGAGGTAGAGAGGTTGGAAGACGGCGCAAAATCACCACACACGCTGTGTGCACTGCAATGGAGTGGTCCAAATGCACATTGGCTTTACACTAGCGTAAAAGAACATGCACTCTTTACTTGTGTGATTTAAGTAGCGGTATTTTTTACCTTGGCGGCTCGAGACCAGGCCTCGTCGGCCAGACGCCGGCGCGTGCTCATGCACACCTCGCCCTTCCTTGTCGGGTTCTCGGGGGGCAGCGGGTGTGGCCAACGAGGGATGCAGCGTCGAGGTTCCCGCGGCTTCACAGGAAGCAGAGCCGATTCCAATTCGAGGTAGGCTTTGCCGTCGTCACGCGTTACTATGGTGACGGCCGTGCCCGAGCGACCAGCACGAGCAGTTCGCCCAACCCGGTGGAGATAGACCTTCGAGGTCAGAGGGACACCGTAGTTTATCACCATGGAGACGAACGGCAAATCCAATCCGCTAGTAGAAACAATAATTGCTAATCAAATTTCCTTTACGACTTCTGAAAGAAACAAATATTTCACTAAGAGAACTGTTATGCTATCTTGTGCACGAACATGAAGGTGCGCTTCGTTTGTCTGCCAAGCTAAAGGCATACGGTCCAGGGACATAAAACTACCGCAAAATCTATTGACACGGTGTGATGAGTTACAACGCCAGGGCAAATCGTCGTTTGTCCAGCGTATAGTGTTTGAAACCAGACCGAAAAGGAGGGCGTACCGGCTAGCTACGTCTGTAGCGACCAAAACATTCGCCTTGCCTGACACGAAGTCGGCCAGAACACGTTTTCTTTCCACTTGTTTCATGCGACCCATAAGACCGACCGCCTTGTAGCTGCGTTCCACCAGAAAGCCAGCTAAGTACCGCGTTTCGTGGCAACGGGCACAGAACACAATTATTTTAAAGTCTGTAAAATTAAAAAAACCCAAGTTACCACGCATTTTCAAGTGAGTAGTAGTGGCTTTGGTAGATCATACCTTTCTCGGTGGCCAATTCGAATGACTGCTGTATTAGCCAATCGAGAGTGGCCAATTTGTCGGCGCGACGAGTGGGAAGACAAAAGTACCGCAGGCCAGCAGGCAGATCCACCTTCAACTCAACTTTCAAATCGGCCTTTTCATCCTGCAATGCTCTTGCTGCTGTGCAAATGACTGCGTCCCTTCGAAGTGCAATTCGACGGAGCTTAGTCACATCTTTGCTCATTGTCGCCGTGAAAAGGTACGTCTGTGGGTGGGCAAATTTTGCGCCTTTGGCGAGACTGGCGCTTTCTAGGGGGATTCAATGCAAATATGAGTACTACATTGGATAAATTACAAAATACACATGAATGAACGCATCATTACGTTTTGCGACTGTAGTTGGAGCAACTTCGTTTGCACGTTTCTCCAGAAACGTCTGCTTTTTGGCCCTGTTTGGGTGTTTGGTTGGGACTAGAGGAGCTTTAGGCCTTTCAAAGACATTCAAGAGGGCATCGAGATCATCAGCGAACTCCAAACTGAGCATTCTGTCAGCTTCGTCGAGGACGATTTGTTTGATTGTGGAAAGGTGATGTCGTGCGAAATCAGGAGACTGCTTCATGTGCTCCGCTAGGCGCCCAGGAGTCGCTATTGTGAAGGAACACAAAGAGAGGCCCATGAACAGGGGGAATGGCATCCAGCAATAAACTACATGCCCTTCTGAACTAAGACTTTAATTTGGCAATTGTTGTATACAGTTAGAGTGCAATGTATGATGCAGCGTGGAACAAATTTCCTAAATAGAAATTAGCTTTTTAAATACACAAAGGGAGGCAGCAGAAAATTAGTGATTTAATATATAACAAAGAGATGACACATAGTTTTAGAAAGCTATAACACGTTGGAATATACATCACGGGATAAATTACAAAGTCATGTCAAAATACGGAAATGAAGTAAACAAAACTCATTAGGCAACTGCTGATAAATTACATATTGGAGCGATCATTGGAAATCAAAACGGTCTACAAAGAAACATCAGACTAGAAAGTGCTGTTTAAATGCACCACTCACATTTATACACATCGTTATCAAACATGAGTGACACCCTCAATAGCACAGTGAAAATATCGAAGAACAAATGTTTATGGGAAGAAATAAAAGCAGATTCAATTGCTAACTGTCTGTACGTTCTCCAGTCATCAACTTTTGGAATTATTCTAGGTGTTACTTTATCCAAGAAGTGACGTGGAGAAAGAAACAACACACGAATACGTTTTTTCAAAGAACCAAAAAGCCGTCAGATTACTCACATTATATCGGAGAAGTATTTACTACAAGGACAGGGAACTGAGGAACAACCTCCAATAAAAGCTGTTTATGCTAGAAATATCCAAAAAAGGTAACTAGACAGGTGCATGCGTTGAAGCATTGTCCAAGTTCAATTGCTTGGACGACCACTAAGTGCAGTGGGCCATCAACTTTTAGGCTGAGTAAAGATAGCCTCAACAGTGCGAGGGCGCTTTCGAAACCGCTAGTAAATAAACTCAATGTCAGCATATTTGGAGGATGATTAGTAACTATGGACAATTATTAAACTCGTTGGCGTTAGGAGTGTCATTTCCTCAGATTTCCTTCAATAGCCCATTCCTGAAAGCTATTGAAAAGTGCACTATATCATTTAAAGGCATAGCCTCATTAATATCTTTGGTACGTTTTCACCACGGTTATTTCACCTTCCACAAGATCTGTGCTTTAGAACACGGCTGCTATCACTTCATCTGCAATCATTGGTTTTATATAATCAACTTTGATTCCCTTTTAATATTGTCAGCAACTCGTAACCCACATATGCGATTTTTTTCGGGGATCACATTTTCTAATTAGAGAGAAGTGAATTTATTAAGAGATTTGCATTTCATACTTGGGAACTCTGATCCGATGTGTATTAAAGATTCGTGGTACCCTAGCGGGTTGACTGACAAATTTACCCTCTACTAACACCCCAAAGGAAACTGAGTTGCAGGTGCCTAGGGGTCATGATACTAAATCAATTTGTTGTGGAGCAATTCGTAATTTTTACAAAAAAAGTTTGGATTAAAATGAAAGCTAAAGGCAATTTCAGCAAGAAATAAACATGGCAAACCAATTTCGTAGCACTTAAGAAAGCAACTAAATGTTGAAGAACCAGCTGGTGATTCCGCAAAAGAAACGTAGGTAATGTAATAACAGACTACCGGGAAGGCTTTTGGGAAATTGTTTGCTTTAAAATAGACAAAAAACTAAACAACTACGGATCTTGTACCTACTTAACGATTTCTGTAAGGAGCGAAATGTTAAAAAAAAACAAAAAGATAGGACTACAAAGGATATCTTTGGAATTGTTCTAAGATTAGACGATTCAAACTGACTAACAGTCCCCCAAATCCCCCTCACATGAAGAAACTAATCTGTCGAAACAGCAAAATTGTAAGCACACTCACCAACAATGATATGGTGGCGACACCAAGCAAGGGTTATTGCTTGATCTGCCGAGTTTTCACCACCAACTAATAGAAATACATTGAGAGGATTTTGGGGTCCGCTTGCGTCTGCATCTTCATCAACAAAGTTTTCCATCAATAGTTTCGCCGTCTCTGATATCTGACAAGCTAGTTCTCTAGTGGGTGCTAAAATGAGAGCGTAGCCAGTTGGTTTGCCAGCATTGAGCCAATTCTAAAACAATGACAAACACAAAGGTCAATTTTGTGCATATGTATACGTGACAAAGTGATGGAAATGCAATAAGTACCTGTAAAATGGGTAACAGAAAAGCGGCGGTTTTCCCTGACCCGGTTTCTGAAGTTCCGATGATATCATTGCCTTTAAATTGACAATGAAATGAAGCAAAAAGTAATTTTACCTTTCAGAGAAGGAGGAATAGCAGATATTTGTATGGGTAGTGGCTTCGTCCAACCAATGGCATTACAGCACTTTACAAGGGAATTACAGAGACCCAAATCCCGAAACCCTCCACTCATGGTACAAACACGGTACTGAAATTTAAAGTTCCCGGTGAGTATACAAGTGCAGTAAGTGATTGCAATAGAAAATGTTGACCTTTAAGTTATTTAATATTAATTTCGCGTTATTTGTAAATTAGATAAATGCGAAAACATTATTTATGGTCAGGCTTAAAACAAATGCCATAGACGTTGACATACAACAACGTTGGGCGTCCACTAACGGGAACAAGCCGGAATAAATAGCATTCAGGAGAAAAGTAATATTCATTAACCTAGAACGCACATTTCTATGGCCAAAAGTCCAAAAAAAACCAGTGTCGAAAGGTGCTAAATCGAAAAATTGATCCAGGCATTTCGTAGCTGTTGAATCTTCATACATAAAAAGAAAGGAATAATCAAACGAACAATTTGTAAAGTGTTGAATATTCCTAACTAAAACACGACTCAGCCATTTAAAAAAGTGACAAATATTTACACGCCATAGGAACATGCGAGTAAAAAACAAAATGCAGTGATAAAAACAAGGAAACTGTGGATTGACCTAAATATAAAGTAGCATGCGGCCAGTTCGGGTGAGTTTTTATGCAAAATGTGACATTAAATGATGGTGTATGTGACATATTTTCCGAATCGATTGGGAATCGCCTCACAAGCTATATTCTTTATGAATCGATGTCACGTATAATGCAAGGCAAATTCGATTTGAGCAAAGGATTCAAAAATTAACTCGGCGAATTAGCTAAAAGAAAACAACGTAAGGCTTAAAGTGTCTGTTTCGACAAATAAGGTATGAAAAACAAAAAGACATTTTTAATTTTTTTTTCTGCATTTTAGTTATGCCGAGTTGAATCCACGTGTGTTTGGCAATTGTTAGAAAAATACGAAATTGATCACAGTAAAACATTAAAAGTCCAATGAAGTTTCTAAAAATGACTCGGAAGTTAAATGCAAATCAGCAGTATATCATTTCCTGTAACATCATTGTGTGAAAATAAACCATGAGTCAAAAGCTAATTGTAAACTTTAATGAGAGGGCAATATGCCGTAAATTAATTAAATAGAAACTTCAAAACCCACAAATACACGTTTAAAGCAGGGCTTGTCACCCATAAAAAATTACAATAAGGAATTGTAATAAATTCATTGCATCAAATCAAATGAGTTAGAGCAGTCTTAACTAGCTAGAATGCAATGGTTGCAACAACTGCAGTCGTTCAAATTGTTGCGCTGCATGCTATGGAAGTTTTGATTGGAAACAAAATGATAAAATAATGCAAATGGAAATTATAATGTCAAGCAAGTGTTCCTGGGATCGAGTTACATATGTGAATGATGCCTACAAGTGGTAAAGTAAATACGCCAAACTCTATGCAAATACTCTTATTACTAAACTAATTTCAAAGTACCACAATCCTGGATTGAATTATCAATTTATCTTTCTTTAAAGAAAATTTAGTGTCCTTCGATGCAGTCATAGAATATCCTAAAATGAGATGACACTTTGCACTGAAGAGACTTCGAAACAGTTTGATACTTATAGACCTCATTTAAATGTAATATTTCTTATCACTTTTAGTAAGTTGCAACCAAACCTAAACTGTAAATATTTCTCCATTTAGAAATGAGAAAGTATGAATCTTTTGAATGAATGTCATAGACCTAATTTTGTAGTCGTAGCTTAAGTAGGCACTGTTGAAGGACTCCTGGTTAAATCAAAATTTATTTCACTTGATGATCAATTCTGGCGTAAGCTGTGAACAAACACAGAAGCACAATGAACACGTAATGACTCTGTTATGCAATTATTTAGAGTTAAACCAGATATACAGTGTTGGTTCGTCTCCTCGTCCATTTCAGCACTTGGAAGTATCAACATCTTTTATAAATCAGGTAATATAAGGCTGTAATTTTTCAGAAGATCCTACAACCATCTTTGGCTTCATTACTATTAAACACAAAGTGCCATTTGGATCGTGTCTATTTCAGAAATGGCGTAATTATATCATGAGGATCAACTGGTTTATAAAGAGGGCTAAATGTCATATAATTTTTTACCTTAATAGAAGACGAATCATATTGACGTGCAATTTTAGGTCAATTGGTAAAATCTTGGAAATTCAATTGGTGCATCTATAACGCGCCTACCGAGCGGGGACCTAAATAGGGAGATGACCGTTAGCCCGTCCCTCCTAGATAGCCACACCATCATCGTTAGCTACCAGGCACACAATGGAAGAATAGCCGGAAGAACCGTATGTATTCCATACTACCGCATGCAAACTCTGAGGGCTAGAGCTTAGGGAGAGTTAGAGTGGGGAAAGGAATGGCCGCGAGGAGGGATGGTATTGCCATCGAACTCACGGGGGTACCTTGAGGAAGGCGAGAGTGCAGGAAAGGAGAGGAGGACAAAGAAAAAGCCAGATCGGCGTGCGTGAGTCGAATATCGCGCGTAACACATTCTTCAATTCATTAAGGTCAGAGATTAATCATGGCTAGTTATAAGCCTACACTGCACACAGATAAAATTCTTGTGACCACCGAGTCAGTAGACTGTAAAATTTCTTATCGCTATGTAAAAAATGCATCTTTCACCGCACACAGCAATTTAATTCAAAATCTACTAATATTTTTTTTTAATTTACAACGTTTTGAAGTGAATTTTAGGAGGGTTCAGGGCTGTAGCAGTAAAAAAGGATTCAAATGGGATATACGTTAATTGCAGACATTTTATCTCCTTCACACTTAAATTTACAGGAATAACGGATTGCCAATTGCTCATAGTCTTGCTTATTCATCTCTTGAAATACCATTCTAATTTGGCAAATTTATTTTCTGTTTGAAAATAGTTGGACCTTAGCCTTCCAACCAATGATTAGGAAGGCAATATCGCCGCGTCGTTTGTTTCGCTGGCTAAACTTTGACTTACTGAGTGGCTTGCGTTAAATGAGTTTCATTAATGTTCGCTA